CACTATTAAAGTGTCTGGACTCGGAGTTGCACTGGATGTGTTATTTTCAGGCCATAATAAAGTTCTTATGTAGCATACCAAAATGTTCATGCATTTATGTTTGACATACAGGAATTGGCAAACACTGGAACTTGTTTTTGATGTATATCAGTTTGGATACTAAATTTAAACTGTGCTAGCTAAATGAGGTAGGAGACGCGAAATATAAACTAAATATAAAATTCTTCCATCTGGCAATAGAAGAGGGATTTGCAAAACTACTTTTTTTCACATGTACTTGTGTGACTATGATGAAAATGAAATTTCTGCTGTATGTTTCTGATTTTTTATTAAATCTCACCATGCGAGATGATATGTAATGATAATGGCAGGAACTCATTCTCACTTAGTGTGGAATATAAGTGATGGCCTTTTGAATAGGATAGTGAGTAAAAATAGCGTTATTGAGGATAGCATATTTAATGAATGAGGCAGGATTCTTTTGCAAAGTATTGTAGGATCCCTTAAGTCTTTATGAAACAATAGCAGTAAAAATCCTAGTTGTGCACATTAAGCAAGTTTCATAGGAACAGATTTTTTTATTATTAATCAGTCATTTCAAGAAAGGGGGGAGAAGGTTAAGTTGTCATTTGTGCAAGCTAATATTTTAATTTCGAGTAGCAGTTTAAAAAAAAAAAAGTATTGAATGCATATGCTTTGGTCTTACAACTGTTTTTGTTTTCTAAACATTATGTGTTGTAGGGCCCTAAGTGCAAGCCTTGTTTAGGAATTCTTTAGTGGATTTCAAAGTCATCTACAGAGGAACTGTTGTGAGAAAAGGCAGAAGCAGTGGCTTGGCCCTTCTTTGTTCTGGGAGCTGTTTTTAATACTTTACTGCTGGCTCCTGAGATGTGTCCCATCTCAGACCATCTCAGTCCTAATATGGACCTGAACCACCTGCTGGTTGGGTTTCTTAACCTTCACTTGCACCCGTCTCATCACTGTGGATTTTACTGAGTGATCACTGGAGTGTGTCTGACTCTGATCACTATGTCCAGATCCATTTCTGATCCAGACGTAGTGCTTGGCCTCTCAATGCCTTGTTGATGAATCCATCACTATCACCTGCCTAGTATTCATGCATGTTTCCCAGCTTACATTCTTTTGCAGATCAGCTGGCCCTTGCAGATCTCTGACAATTGGAACCTAAAAAGGCTAATTTATTAAACTACTTACATGACTCACAGATTTCTTTTAACTTCTTTTTGTTGTCCTTTACTAAAGATTTTTATAACTATTAAAGATTTTTATGACTACTAAATATGGGCAGAGGTTGCTTAGACAGGTTCTGCAGACTTTCACATTCTGGCTGTATAACATCCTGAGCGACCTGTTAAGTCCTTTGTGGCTGAACTTGCCTTCAGCAGAAGGTAATACTTGAAGACTTTTGAGTTCACTTCCAAACCGGATTATCTTTTTTTCTATTGATATTGTTTTATTCATATGAAATTGGCTAAGACTTAACCTTGTTTTCCAGTCTTGTTTTAATAGTTAAGATAATTGCTTTATTCATTACTTTGTGTAAATCAATGAAAAAAAAACAAAGTTAAAAAGAATTCAGTATTGACAGATGTGGAACTGATATATATTGTCAGCGCCATACTTATTTGCCTGTGTCATACTATTGCAAGTTTGTGAACCTCGTGATGAATTTGTCCACAGGCTTGAACAGTAGATTGATTGCTTAGTTTTAAGGCCTGAGTTGTCCTTACCTTTTAACTCATCACTTATTTCCCAGAAGTACTGTATATCTTTGTCATTGCTACTTGCTTTTCAACATGTGGTGACAATATAAATAATTACATTATCTTCCTTAGCTGTAGCAGCTCTTAAAAAGTATATATGTTGCTATAAGTATTTCTTAAGCTATTTAAGTTGCGTTGGACAGGAGCTCATAAATAAAGAAAAGAAAATGATGTGTTTCTTTACTGGTTTTATGTTTGTTTTGTTTGCACCCTTAGAGCAATGTATCTGTAGTAGAAGGGAAAGGAAGTACAGTCTCAAAACTTCTAAGACTTGTTTATACTCATCTTTTATTTCCGGAGGAGAACAGCATAGGCTTGTATGTTTTCACAATAGTTTGTATGTAGTTGATACTACCTTTTGGTAGAAAGATGGACTAACAGACACTTAGAATTGGCTTGCTGAATTCTATCCTCAGAGCAGGGGCAGCTGTGAGGTCAGAAAATGTTGCTTGGTGCTTTGTCTGATCACATTTTGAAACTTCTGAAGATAAAGGCTGCAGAACCTTTCTGGGTAACCTTCTCCGATTACCTCATTTTTTCACCTTTAATTATTTGATTCAAGTAATTAAAGTTCTCTCATTTTGTTTGTGTACAGAATTCCAGTTACTATAAAAAATACTGGAAAGGGCTCAGTGGAAATGCAGCAATGTGTCAATTCAGTGTTTAAGCAAGCCAGGAGCATGCCAGTTTTGTATTTCACCTCTGTGCTTCTCAGTTCAGTGAGAGTCATTTGAGATACTGTTGTTAATCACTTCTATATGATGAATGATGTAACTGAAATTTTTTCAGAAAAATCATTGCAACTTTGAGGAGAGTTTTTTGATTGCTTCCATTACTTTCTATGGAGACTTTCTTCACTGTTATGCAGCAGATACCCTGGTTAGTTTTCCCAAGCTAGTGTTTTTATATCTGTTCTTCATTGATCCAGATCATTAGGGATTGCCATGGAATGCTTTTATGCAAAACTGCATTGTCTCTTGTCACTTTCTGCCATTATGACAATAAGCTATTGCACCGTTTGTAATATTTCAGTGGTACTTTAAAATGAATAGAGATTCTCTAAATTGTCAGTTATTTATGTATCATCTGAGTGTTAGAAGTTGAAAGCTACAGAAATCCAATTCAGATATATGAAGCTAGTCTTGGAGAAAGGAACAAGGAACAACTGTTTCAGCAGAGCTCTTCCAATACTAGCTGATGAGCCATCCATGAATCTCAGTGGATTCCTGAAACTTACGAAGATTAACAAGGTGAAGTCCACCAGCAGTTCCTGCTGGGTGGCAGCAAGACGGGAAGCAGCTTTGCAGAAGCTTGGGGTTTTGATGAGCACCTAGTTATACATAAACCATCGGTGTTGCTAAGGAAGGTAATGCTGTCCTATGCTACATTAGCCAAAATATTGCCATCTCATCAAGGGAGGGGATGCTTCATGTTTATTCAGCATTGGTGAGGCCATATCTGGACAACTGTGTTTATCTCTGATCTCCTCACTACAAAAGAGAGAGCTAATGAAGATAGTCCTAACTAAGGACCATCAAGATGACTGAGGAACTGGGGCATCTCACATATGAGCAAGGGCTGAGAGCTGGAACTGTTGAGTGTGGGAGAGAGCTCAGAGGCATCTCATCGATGTTTAGAAATAAGTGAAGAAGGTGGAAAGAGAAAAGAGCCTGGCTTTTTTCAGTGAACAGGAGGCAGTGGGCACAAACTTGCACACAGAAGGTTCTCTCTGTGTATTGGGAAGCACTTATTTAATGTGCAGATGGTAGCATACTAGTACAGGTTGCTCAGAGAGGTTGTGGAAACTCTTTCTCAGAGATCATCAGAATTTACATGGACGTGGTGTTGAGTGAGGCTGCTGAGTGGCCCTGCTGAAGCAGTCTAGTTGGAGTATGTAGCCTCCAGAGACCCCTTGTAACCTCAGCTGTTGTATGATGTATATTCTGTTACCTGTTTCTCCCAGTACTCTCTTGGTACTACATCACTTGAAACAAATTCATAGATGCCTGGGATGAGCCATATGGAAAATGTTGTATGTTTTTTTATGTTTCTTAAAAATGTCTTTTACTGATGATTTAAGCTGTCTAGGCAGTTTGTCCATTTCAGTACCAGCTGTTGTGGTGCAGAGAGTTGGGAATCAGAAACATCTCTGCATTTGTGAGTCTTAATCCAGTTACATGCAACTTATGTTGTGGATGAAGAGGAGGTTTGTGTTCTTCTACAGGCTCCAAACTGGAGCCCTGCTGTCTCTAGGAGCAAGAAATATTTATATCCTGTTGTAATTCTAAGCCACAAACCTAAAGTCTTGGTTTTGAGCCACGAGTGGTGAAAGATGTATATTTTCATCACTATGACTGAAATCAGAAAATGTAGCTGCTTGTTTTAATATATTTTCGTAATATAATTTATTAAACATCAGGCATATGTCTTTGCAGACAAAAAAAAAGACAAGGAAAAGATGCTGTTCATGCCTGAAGTAATCTTTAAATCCTAAATTGAAGCTGTTGTTTGGTAAGCTTCTGTATTGAAATTCCAGTGTAAAGATTGTAAATAATATGACTGTACTGTAAAGTGGCTCAAAGAGTTGATACAATAATTGGTACAAATAGTTGATGTAATAATTAATTCCATTTTAATGGAATGTATCCTAGATGTTTCTTTGGAGATAACTGAATCTTATGGATTTTATTCCTATTTTCAGGGAAATTCAAATGGCATTGCTACTGTGGATGTTTCAGCAGGGTTTGTGGGACTAGAAAGCTATGTGGAGATACCAGCAGTCTTCCTTACAGCATTTGCAACATATGCAGGACCTTTGCTTTGGGCCATTCATCTTCTGTGCTACTTGAGTTCTGAAGTCAGCAGGTAATCATGTTTTGAACTAAAATAATGCTTCCTCATGTATTGCAGATACCATCCTTATCAATACACCTTTTCAAACAAGTATTTTTCTTTACACCATTCTTTCAGTTAGTTTTCTATTAAGAAAATGCATGTTATTTTTCTTTTTGTTTGTATCACCTTCCTCTCCTGGTTTCATTTTATCTGCAGTTTTCATTTTATTTGCACTGTTTTAGCAATTTTGTTTCTTAATGAGTTCTTGGTTTGCTGTGCTAAGTTATTTAAAATTTTATTATATTTTGTTGTAACAAGGTGTGCTGTCTAAAAACATTCTTTTTAGAATCTATCAAGAAGGAAGCTTGAGAAGGCCTTTTCAAAATAATGACATGGAATTGGAATTCAGACTTAATATACTGTTCTTTGAACAGCTCTCCTTGCTTGGCATAATGGCATGCAACTCTGTATAGATCAAGCAAGTTTATTTTATTGTATGTTACTGGTTATTGCTGTCACGTGTAGCTAAAATATTTGCAGTTTTGGATATTTTGTATAGCAGAGGCCTAAAGGAATGCAAAATAAATTAATGCATTTGGAATTTCAAGAAGACATGGTTGGAAATTGTTATGCATCTTAGTGTGCATGAAATAGCCAACTGGACTCTGTACTATTACATTTAACTCATCATCTCGGTCACTCGAGAGGTGCAGTATGTTAACAGGAGTGGCTGTAAGTTCAGTATCCTATAACATTATTCTACAAATGCAAAAACTTGATATATTTTCACTGAAATACCATTTGACAGAGACCAAGTTCTTAACATTCTGGAACTTATAGTCAGCCACATATCTTTTCTTTACTATCTTTGGAATTTAATTTTTTTTTTCTTTTTAAATTAGGAACCAAACATTGGAGCAGGACTAGCAAATGGGATTTTAGACAGTATTTTGTTTATTACAACTTTTTGCCTTATGCATAGTCATTCTCTAAACATGTCTGACTTTCCTTTATCTACAGTGCTGTCCAGTCTCATTTTGTTTGTGCTTTTTGTTATCTGGCTTCTCTTCTCCTTCTACTTGTTTGCTCTGGCTATATGTATACTATAAACTCTCATGTTGGCACATATGTATTCATTATGTGCATAATGAAATGGGATCCTCAACTCACACAGCTGCATAGAGCTGTGCAGACCTTTATGCCAGAAATGAGCTATTCTTGTGGACTAAATTCCTGCACTGTGTGTGTTGTTGTGTATTAACAAACACCTTTCACGGACAGAGACACACCTTATTCACTGGTCTGCCTATGTACTATACTGCTCCTTAAAGACACAGCTCTCTGTACTTTGTCTTGGTGGAATTACACATACCAGTGCTGGATCTGAATTTTGCCAGTAATGCACTGCTTAGTAGAAACTTAAGGTAGGGTATGACCTCTTAGCTTGAGGCCTATTTCCCTGAAGTCATCTTATGTTGATCTTATGTTGGCTGATACTGTCTAAATACTGGTGTTTATGCATAGTATATCTGAAATCCAGCCTTTTCTCTGTTCATTCTGATATTTTTTTTGGCTTAAGTAGATGTGGAATACAGTATCTATTGATGCCTGGATTTGTGTAAGTACCATAGTCCCATCTTGACTTTTTCCTACCATCTGATGTCCTGATACCAAACCCAACATTAACTTCCTGTTTCTAACACTCCTTTTGGGTACTGAGTGTTATTCTAGCACTCTTTTGTTATTGCTGCGATCCATCAGTATATCTTCCCAGTATCCAATTTCTTCAAGCATTCAACTTCCATTCTTCATACTCTCTTTAAAAACAGAGTTGCCACATGCATACAAAAATCCCTGCCTCTTGTCTTCTAGTAAATATGTGACTCATGACCTTGACTATTACTTACGCTCTATTAATCTACTGGTTTTTTTTCCCTAATTCCTTTATATCTCTGTTCAGCTATACCGTGCTGTGTTTAAAGTGATTCATCTGGTCATGTCCACGTTACTCTGTTTTTTGGTTTTTTTTGTTCCACTTTCCGTTCTTCATTACTACACTTTAGGTGTTTTGGAGCTAGAAATTTTCTCTGAGTATAGAGGAGTAAGCAGTCTCATGGCTGTTGTGGGAGGAGGGAGAGTAAAAGAATAAAAGCTGTTTTAACATGTTATAAGAGTTGAAGTTTTAATGTTGTTTAGACTCCAGATGGCAGACTGATCAGCACTAACATAAAATTAAGAAAAAAATAATACCACACGGCATGTTGTTTGAAAGCACTCCTAACAAATTAATGAAAAACTTTCAGTAACAAAATCTTTGAACATTTTCACATGGTTAGTATTTTTTCAAATGATGTGCCTCCATAGTAGCGTGGGTTGTTCTCATATTTTCTTGGTTGAATTTTTGCAGATTAAAAGCTCAACTAATAGTGTTGCCAGGTACAGTGCTGGTTTAAACTGATGTCATATGGGTAACTGTGACCTGTAATACCCACATCACTTATGTAAGTAGATTCCATCAAGCAGCTTTCTAGAAATTTTAAGGTTCATTTGGGTCAACTGGTAAGATTGTTTGCTCTCCTGAACAGTGAATAATTCTGGACTGAAAACTCTCAAGCCCCTGGGACTTGTTTCTGTTGGTATCTTATTGTGATCAGAACTTTGGTCAACATGCTCTTTATTTTACTTTTGTGTTTTGTAGCTGACTGAATGGTTTCCATATTTCTTTGCTGTTATTCCTTGGAGCAAAATCTCAAACTGCAGAAGGTGGAGGTTAGCTGCTCCATGTTGTTTCTTAAATGTATGGATGATTGATTTTATTTTAAAAAAGCAAAACCTGAGATATTGTTCTTAAAAGCTTCTTATTAAGTGCTTTATATGCAGTGCCTCAGTCAGTATAATTCAAAGTCTTTCCCTTCTTATGTAATCCTGAATGAAGATCCTTTCCCCACTCCAGATAGGAAGGTCTAAAAAAATTCAGCTGCTGTACATTTGAATATGCTGAGGTTGCCATCAGGATTGCTGACCCACCCTGAAACAGTCACAGTAGACTGGATATGTTCAGAACAGCACAGCAATGCTGTCCTTTCTGCAGTTTCTAGCATCCTGCAATCTGTTTCGGAGCTGCTTGCATCTGGGGAAATCTACATGGACAGAGAAGCCTGATCTCAGTTCTAGCTGTCTTCGTTAATTCCAGCCACTTAGTGGAGCCCTATATAACTGATAAGGTGCACCAGATGCCTTTGCTTAGTATAGAAATGTTGTCAGGGCCTGCAGGGATGAGATGAGGAAGGCTAAAGCCTGCCTGGAATTGAATCTGGCAAAGGTGATAAAGGATAATAAAAAAGGCTTTTTAAAGTATGTTAACAGTAAAAGGAAGACTAGGGAGAATGTGGCTCTCCTACTAAGTGAGAGGGGTGTTTTGGTAATGGGGGATGCTGAGAAGGCAGAGACACTGAATGCCTTCATTGCTTCAGTGAAAAAACTCTCCCTCGGGAATCCTGGACCCTGGAGGCTAGTGAGAGGGTCTGGGGAATGGAAGACTTCCCTTTAGTCAGGGAAGAGACGGTCCAATGTACAAAAATCCATGGGACCCGATGGGGTCCACGAGTGCTGAGGGAGCTGGCAGAGGTGATTGCTGAACCACTCTCTGTCATCCTTGAAGGGTCTTGGAGAATGAGGGAGGTGCCTGAAGACTGGAGGTTAGCCATTGTCACTCCGGTCTTCGAAAAGGGCAAGAAAGAAAATGCAGGTAATTACAGGCCAGTCAGCCTCACCTCTGTCCCTAGAAAGGTGATGGAACAGCTTGTGCTGGATGCCATATCAAGACAACTGGAAGAAAAAGAGGTTATCAGCATGGGTTCACCAGGGGGAGGTCATGCTTGACCAATCTGGTAGCCTTCTACAATGTTGTCACTGGCTGGGTGAATGGGGGGAGAGCAGTGGATGAAGTCTACCTTGATTTCAGCAAGGCATTTGACACTGTCTCCCACGACATCCTTATAATGAAGCTGAGGAAGTGTGGGACAGATGAGTGGACAGTGAGATGGGTTGAGAACTGGCTGACTGGCAGAGCACAGAGGGTTGTTGTTAGCGGTGCAGAGTCTGGTTGGAGACCTGTAACTAGCAGTGTTCCTCAGGGGTCGGTGCTGGGTCCGGTCTTGTTCAACATCTTCATCAGTGACCTTGATGAGGGGATAGTGGCCACCCTCAGCAAGTTTGCTGATGGTACGAAGTTGGGAGGATTGGTTGACACGCTTGAAGCCTCCTTGTGAACTGCAAGTGTGTTGGATATATGAAGTCCTTACATTGTCAGGGCTCTCTGGTAAAAAAAAAGATTAGAAAATAAGGACTTGAAATAATATGTTGGAAATCTGGTTCTAAGTAGTTAAACAATTTGCATCCACTTAATCAGGCACATGGAAGAATAAGATTTCCTTCTCATGTGCAAAGGTAAATATGCTTCTAAAATAACTAATGGCATGTGATAGACAGGAATGTGGATACTAGTGCCACTTTTTGTCCTTCATGCTCTCATAAAAAACTTGGCAGCTGGAATGTGATGGGATTTTCACAGACAGAAATAGTAAGAACTCTTCTGCTTTAGTCTCCATGGAAACTATGCAATAACTCTTGACTATGCTTCTGAGACAGTGAGCACTGATAAAACAGATGCCTAAACTTAACCAAGCATTCTTTTTGTGACCAGCATAAATTCCAGAGAGCACATGAGTCATGTAAAGAGTAGTTTTTAGAGTGCTCACTGTATTGCTTTACTCTGAATTAGAACTTGGCATTTGGGGATTCTTATGATTGGAAAGGCCATGTTATTGTATAACTAGACCTGTATTACATGGCCTCACTGTACTCATCTCACTCCAGATGGATTCAATTTTTACATTCCTACCCAAACAAAGTTGTCTTGTGGGTGACAGTCACAGTGTTGTGTAATTAGCTCTCTTTAAATAGACAGCATTGTAGTTTTCAGATTACTTGTTCGTTAAAATCTCTGTTTTAATTGGTTTAATGAGTCA